TTTACAGACCTCTCGCTGCTCTCATCTGCAGGACATATGTCCTTGTCGCTTTTACAGACCTCTCGCTGCTCTCATCTGCAGGACATATGTCCTTGCGCTCCATTCTTCTACATACATACAGTGGTGCTGAAAAGTTTGCGATCCATTTAGAATGTTCTCTATTTCTGTATAAACTTCACATAAAACGTGATCAGATTTTCACGTAAGTCCTAGAACTAGATAAAGAGAAGCCAGTCAGGGAAATGACACAGAATATTATATTTATTCCTTTATTTATTGAGGACAGTGATCCAATGTTACATATTTGTGTATGAACAGTCCTGCACATCAGCTTGGGGAGTTTTAATGCACCTCACAGAACAGCATCAATGGAGGAGCAGCGTCACTGCTGTGTATCGATCGATAACCTGCCGGAAGTAGGGGAGGCATTCAGGATAAATGAAAAGAACTGAGAAGCAGATTGGAATATTATTCATTCCCCAGTCCCAGGAATTAAATCATTTGTTTTCAGTTTTTGAAAATAGTTTGCGTGTGAGAGATTTTACCTGATTTTGACAACATTTTGTAAAGGCATCATATTCGACATACCACACCCTCTGTGGGGAAGATCACGGCAGCCTTCATGGGGGGGGCAGTCACAGCTGTGTCTCATTGTACAGGCGTGGATCTCAGACAGTTCAGATCAGTTTTTTTGGACCCCTGTGTCACTGTGTCACACACTTTGTCACCTTACTGCTGGAGGGTAATAGGCTCAGATCCAAAAAATATAATCCCAAATCATTCTGGTACCTTGCATGCATATCTTTTACATTTGCCGGATCCTTCCAGAGCTCCATGGATGGGTGTGAGCGTGTTTATCAGAGGTGATGTCGCCCCCAGCACAGGCTTAACTCGCTGTGTTTTACTTTGCCTTACAGTGCTGACATCATTCCCCAAGTCGGATCTGAAACATGCCAGTTTCTCTTTTGTTTCGCGCCTCACCTGTGTGACACGAGCTGCTCAACCAGCTGCTTTTTCTCTCTTTCCATCTTCTTGCGGTCTGGTTCCACCGCCCGTCCCACAAAAAGTGTCTGTTACCACCCAGGACTTGCCCATCCCGTGAAAAGTGAAACCAGACCGGACAGACAAATGCCACTCCGGGTGGACAGACGTCAAGCCGGCCAGACAAACGTCATGGGTAGAAGAACGTTACACTAGGCAGAAAAAGGCCACGCCAAGTAGACAAACGTCACGGGCAGACAAATGTCACGGCGGGCAGACAAACATCACTCCCTCACTGCGTTCAATTAAAACTATAAGGACAATAACCCTGATGTAGATGAGCAGTGGGGGACAGGCTCTCCCCACAGGAGTCTGATATTCAGAACCAGTAGAGCGCCCCAGCCCGACAGGCCCCCATACGTCATTCGTCTCTTCCCAAGGCTTGTTGATGTTGAACGAATGCTGTCTCTCTCCAGCTTCCCACTTCCTCTCGTTATCACTGGCAGAGCATCCATGCAGATCGGCTGAGTAGCATGGCTTCTTCCCAGCGATTCCCACTGGCATCAAAACGAGACACCAATCCCTCACTGGTACCCAGAGGCCCTCCTATGTTTGGGGGGGGGGGGGCATGGGGGCGCGCGGGTGCCCATTTTGAGGCCCCGTTTTAGTGGAGGCCACCTTCTAGGGTATCATGTCCTTTATAGCAACAGATCACAGCATCTATCCAATAGTCCTGCCCGCCACGTTTGGCTGTAAGGCGAGTTTGGAGGGAATACGGACATGGGCGGTTAGCTGGTTAGCGGTTAGCGCCAGTCCCCGCTGGCTCGGCGGCTGCAGCCATGCAGCGAGTTAACAAGTGGCGGTTTCCCACGGCAATGCGGCAGAGCCTGGCTGGTTCACCTGCCGCGTGACATCCCATCACATTTAAGGGCATATGGCTGCAGCTGATCTTAACGGAAGGCAGAATTAAATGTGCGAAACATTTGTCACTGTTTACAGATCCAAAAAAATTGTCTAATATTCACAATACCTGTGAAGCCAATGTGTGATGTGTGCTGACGTGCGAAACTTGTACCGCTGGCGGTCACATGCATGGGGGGGGGGTGAGGGCCTGTACTGGAAAACGTTCAGTTTGGGAGACTTTGTCTTTCACTTCCTGAGCGACTCTTTCAGCTACAGGAGTTGATCCCACCTCAGACTTTTAGTTAAACTGCATGCTGTTGCACTGCATAGTGCAGTTCTCCGAGTGCTTTAAACATAATAGGACTGAGGAATAATTGAATTTGTCCTCATTAACTGACTGACTAAGCACCATACCGCACGGCTGTGTGCACAGCCCAGTGATTGGCCCACGGCCAGCAAAAAGCTGTGTCACCTGGCTGCTGATTGGCTAAGAGCCAGCAGAATGGTTCCGTGCTGCAGCTCCGCACTGGCCCTTGGAGATGTCGGTCCGAGTTTAATCACATGAACTTGATCAACAGCTTTGCTTTATTATCAGTCATAGATTGATTGCCGCGACAAGCACAACTCGAAACCATGTTTTGACAGTGACAGGATGAGCAACTCCTCTTATTATTACACTATCATTCATTACTATTAAATAAATGCAGATGCAGGGGAGATTCTAGGATTTTTTTTTATGTGAGAGGCTTAAGGGGGGGGGGGGACTGAGGCATATGGGCCAACCTTATCATTAGCCAATTAAATATTTTGAATTGGTGAGTGACAGGGGAGGATCCCTGCAGGGGCCAATCAGCTTTCAGTTGGGGCTGGTGCCCCTGTGGTCCCTCCTCTGTATATGCCCTTGTGACCCCATCCTGTTTGCCCATAAACGTGTCCATCTCTCTGCCCCTATGTTTTTCCTAAAAATGCTCAGCCATGGTCTCCCCACTCCTCCCCACTCAAATGCCGTTAGACTTTATAAAAATGCCGCCTTGTTGAATTCCAGCAAGCAGCAGTGCCCTTTCCCTTGGGATCTAACCCTGAAATAAAGCCCCACAACTGGCGATATGCATCTCCTCCATAACGATGGCCTTAAGCTACCCCCATGGGGGCAGCTTAGACTCCCTCAGCTCAGCACGGCGGGGAGGGGGGGGGAGGCTCACTCTTGGTGAGGGCAGCGGAATGCAGTCTCTGTGTGCCACACCGTCACCAACGGCGTAACCAGCAAACTGCGATGTGTGAAGGAAGGAATGTTGGGTGAATAACTGGGAGGATGCGCCGCCCTGCCGGCGAGCGTGTGAGTGAGTCTGGGAGGATGCGCCGCCGTGCCGGCGAGCGTGTGAGTGAGTCTGGGAGGATGCGCCGCCCTGCCGGCGAGCGTGTGAGTGAGTCTGGGAGGATGTGCCGCCCTGCCGGCGAGCGTGTGAGTGAGTCTGGGAGGATGCGCCGCCCTGCCGGCGAGCGTGTGAGTTGCCCTGGCATGACCTGCCCTGACCAGACACCACATCAACCCACCAGCTATCGAACAGCGTCGGGAATGATGTGGGGAAATGCTGAGGTGCTGCGGGGCGGTCTTCTGTGCTTCAGTGACAGTCAGCGACTCCAGTGTTTACTGGAGCTCGGAAATGGGGCCGGCTGACCCTGGACCAGTGGCTCTAGCTGAGTCACATTTCTGTCTTCCCAGCTAAATGTATTCGGCGTGAATGAGTCCCTCCCTCACACCTTGCAGACTCCCTCTCCGTAAATTTTGCGAGATCATTGGTGATCAAGAAGGGGTATTTGCAACCTCAGAAGGGGGCACTTTCAGTTGTTCATTGTGGCGACCGCCCCCCACCCATAGCCTGATCCTGCATGTAATGTCAACACTCCTGCAAGTGAGGGTGGGGTCCCTCCCTTTTCAGACAGTCCCAGATGAGAAAGGGCCACCCGGGAGCGTGCATCTGGATGGGGGGTCGAGGAGCTCACAGGTTCCCCTGAATTTCATGCTTTTGTAGAGCAATCCCTCCCCAGGCAAATGAATGAAGAGAGATAAACAGTCACCAGGTGAGGGTGGGTGGATTGTAGCTCTAAGCAGAGTGACTAATGAAACATTCAGGAAGCAGCACTTTCCACCTCATCCTAGGTGGGGGAGGGGGGGCATTTAAGAAATCACACTTGCAGATACAGGATGATACCCTCAGCACACTGTAAAGCTTCAGGAAGAATAAACAATAAGCTTAATGCAGTTTAATAGCCATATGATATGGGATTCTGTAATTGAGATGGTCTTTATGTCGGACATTAAGAGCAGTAAAAGTCATCGATCTGTGCATTTCCCCGTTCGGCTGACATCACAGTCTCATGGTGACGATCATGTCTGTCGGCCATTCTCTATGTCCCCTGGCGTGTCTTCCATTTTCTAATGTGCCCATACGTCTCGTTGAGAAAGCCGGCCGACATTTAGGCAAAGCATGACTAACCACTCGAGTGGCCGGGGGCTCATATCGAGGATCATAATTGGTACAGAGGAGCCAGCCTTTTTATTAGCCGATGATTGTTTGAATCGGTGAGTGATGGGGGGGGGGGGCACTCTGGGGGCCAATCAACTGGGGCCAGAGCCCCTATGCCCCGTCCCCCTGAGTTGAGAGAGGGGGCTTAATGTTGCTTCCCAAAGGGCCAATTGCTCGTCGTGCCCCTATGCAAACCACCTCCCCACTGAAACAGTGTAAAACCACAGCAGATTTGCGTGGCAGACAGAGAGCGCCATGTCACATACCATGCTGTCCTCAAGTTACGTACCATGCTGTCCCCAGGATACGTACCATGCTGTCCCCAGGATACGTACCATGCTGTCCCCAGGATACGTACCATGCTGTCCCCAGGATACGTACCATGCTGTCCCCAGGTTACGTACCATGCTGTCCTCAGACTACGTGCCCTGTCGCCCTCAGGCTGCATACTATACTGTCCTCAGAGCTCGCAATCTGAAATGGATTAGCTGTAGACAAACTGCAAGGGGCAAATCAGTCGATACCTCTGTACATACTTCAGGAAGGAGCTCTGCACCATCAAGGGTGTCATCATGATGATACAGTGTAGATGTTCACGCCAGCTGTGCTTTGCTTATTGCTGTGCCCGCAATAAGCAAAGTTCTGGGGACCTTCAGTGGGTCTTTTCTGTGAGGGTACGGCTTGAGATGTTCATTTGCAATTCATCCAAACCTGTGCCTGAGTGCTAATGGAGACTTTCAGTAGTAGTTCTATGTCCTTAATTCGCATTTAAGGGATCCCAAGATTTTCCCTTTGTAGAGCAGGCTGACCTGTGACTGAGCCTTGGGACAAGGAGCCATGATGTGTTCATCTGCTCTAGGCTGTTCCAGTTCCTTACATAGCTGGACTATGTTTTTGTGTTCTTTTTCAAAGGCTGCAATCAAAGCCATGACTTTGGGAGGTAGGCTCTGCCCTTGAGGTAGATAATTCGGCCTAAGGATTCTTCACCTGATTAAAGACGTTTATATCTCAAAGTCACCCTGTGTTGTGTTCATCGTTTGCCTGCTTCACTGATTATTTCATTTACATTTGACCAAGTTTGATTACTGATTTTAAAGTGTACTGATTTTTAATCATTTTGCAAACACTCCCCATTGTGTCGGATGGCATTGGAAAATTTACATAACAAACAAAACTAGCCTGAAATATTAGGCATTATTAACATACTATTGCACAGTTACTCATGTCTGCATAAGGGCGCTCTATGGCGTCTGTGCCCCCTTTTCAGACGATCATAAATGTCGCTCTAGTCAGACAGTCTAGTCATTGGGGTTATTTTATGGGGGGCATAAGAGGGGCCGTAATTCATACATAAGTGCCATTCTTACCATTAGCCAAAGATATGATTTTAATCTGTGAGTGACACGGGAGGGGGCACTATGGGGGCCCAGCCCCATATACATCCCTGTTTATCATCGCCCTCCCCCCCCCATGCCACATGACCCCAAAAAAAGCACACTAGTTTCACCGATTCCCAGAATCACTTCCTGTGTGCTGCCAAATTTAGTTATTTATCTGTTTCATTATGAACTCTCTATAATAACTACAGCATCTCCCCGCATCTCTAATTAACACTGGCACGTGCTACAGAATGAGATTTAGGGGTTTGCATAACTCAAATTCCTGCTTTTAATTTTGTGGCTCCCTACCCTGCCTGCAGCCCGCACTGAAATGAAAGTGTGGGGGATAAGATGCTTGCTCAGAGCTCCACGTGTCGCTTGCTTTGTTACTGAGGATGACAGAGCGTGGAATGTTCCAGTCTCACCTGCCCACACATGCCAGGGAACACGCTGGGGCTCCTTAGCTCTGTCACGCACCATTTTCCTTTGAGCTGTGTGATTTAAAAAAAAAAATATATGATAAGAATAATAATCCTAGTTTCTTAAGACACTCGATCGGTCCTTCTCTCCTGAAATATCCAACAGAGGCGACTTGCAAAGGTGCCATGTGTTCATGCTTTTTTTCCTAGGAGTCTTAAAATGATGCTGTTTAGGGACAGCTGGATGAGCGTTCGTCATTCCCGGCTCGGAGCAAATGCACAACCCTGGCGGGAGAGGCTCGCGGCTGCAGCTTCCACAGTCCTGTCCTTTTTGTCACTTTTCCAAACTCATTAGGGTGCCGTGTGCCGTCAAAAGCAACTTAATTAGGAAACTGGAATGAAATGTTTGCCGTGCTTACATTCAGGAGTGACGCTGATTCCGCATCTTCCTGCTTTGCAGGGAGTGCCGGGACCCCCGTGATGTTCAACGAAAACGGCGACGCCCCTGGACGCTACGACATCTTCCAGTACCAAATCAGCAACAGGTCAACTGCCGAATACAAGGTCATTGGCCAGTGGACCAACCAGCTTCACTTAAATGTAAGTCAACGGTGCCGCTTTTGGCCCTGATTAACCACGCCTCTCAGTCCTCGTCTTTGTTGTTTTCCCTTGTCTTTGTGACATATGTGCTGCTTTCCTGTTCCACAACATGGTCTTCCTCGACCCAGATTCCCTTCTGGCATCGTATTAACGCACAGAAGGAAGCATCCCAGTGTTTGCAGCAAACATGTTGCGTAGCACATGGCTGGCAGAGGCAGAGCAGGACGGCCTGTGGAATGAACAGCTTTCCTCCACAGCCAGCTAGACGGCTTTCCCTCCTCCCTCCTCCCTCCTCCCTCGCGGTGGCTTCCAGGAATCCGTTTGCACAGATCAGATCTTTGTATGGAAGATCTCACAAATCCCCCATGATCATCTCTTTCCCCCCTCTGAAAAACTGAGCCAAGAATTAAATTATATAATCAAAAAACCCGGATGAAGAAAAAAATATTCTGAAACCACCAAAGATCCTTCTTGGAAAAATAAATTAAAAAAAGCCCAATTATCCTGCACCTGAGTAATATGGAGATGTGTCCAGGCTTTAGTCTCTTCCCAAGCACATAATGTTTTATGCGATAAGTATAATTAGAGTGCAATTCATTTGTGAGTTGTTTTCCCAATAATTATAATAAAAAAAGTTCACGGTTCTACATAAATCCCATCAAGTATGAATAATTCATGGCCGTCCAGTGCTCCGCAACGTTGCAGCAATAGAGAGGTAATCGATGCAGTGTATTCTGATGGAGCCATGCGCTTCATCTTCTCTGGCCAGGCGGAGGATGTGCGTATGAAAGTCTCCCCCCCAATTCTTACTCATAAGCAGCCCCCTTCCCCACCGACACGTAGCTTGGCAGACCAAGCATGCTCTCCACTCACGAAGCGGAGTCCAAGTTTTCAGATTTGTTTCCTCTCACAGTCCAAAAACGCACAGTTAGGCGATTCTGTAACAATGCATTGACCATAGTGTGTGAATATGTGTGTGTGTATGTGTGGGTTATGTACATATTACCTTGTGGGCACCAAATGTCCCCAACAATGTGATAAAACCATGTTATTTTGATGTTCTGGGGACTGTTTTTTTTTTAAATTTTATAGAAATCTCAAAAAAACAAAAAATTGTTGTATTTTACTTATGTTTAACGTTACGGCTGGGTAGGGGTTAAGGTCGTCATGTTGGAATTAGAGTTTTCCCCACAAAGATATGAACACAAACATGTGTATGTGTGTCCACCCTGTGATGTGTGTCTGCCCTGTGATGTATGTCCCCAGCCCTGTGATGTGTGTCTGCCCTGTGAAGTGAGTATTCCCTGTGATGTGTCCCTGTTCTGTGATGTGTGTCCCTGCCCTGTGATGTGTGTCCCTGCCCAGTGATGTGTGTCCCTGTCCTGTGATGTATGTCCCTGTCCTGTGATGTATGTCCCTGTCTTGTGTTGTGTGTCCCTGTCCTGTGATGTATGTCCCTGTCCTGTGAGGTATGTCCCTGTCCTG